CAAGTTTTTGTATTTACTCTGTGGAATTGTTTCTTTGGTGGGGGAGGGGGTTGGTGTTGATCTTTCCTAGCAGGTATTGAGGATTGCTGGTGCTTGTAGTTCTAGGCACTCCTTTCCTTGGCTTACGTTTAGCCCCACCTGTGGTAAGCCTGCAGGCTGCTTTAAACAGTTTTTGGTATCTGGAGCTCATCTTGATTTTTCCACAAGCTGTCAGACGTCTACCAGCCTTCCTCACCCCCACGCTCCACTCACTGCCCCATTCATAATCATGAGTTAAATCTGAGCTCAAGGACATTTAAGTTGGCTCAGCACAGATATTGTGCTTATGTTTTGGGGACCAGCCACAACACCGAAAGATTCATAAAGCTAATATTCTTTGTCTTCAAAATGAATCTGCTTTCTGTTGAGAGTTTCTATTGAGAGCTGTAGTGAGTAACAGATGTACACCCAAGAGGTAGTACAACTTTTGTATTCCAGTGACAGAAAACAGTTATTTATAAGAATTTAATGAATGTATTCTGTGGCTCCAGCATGGAGACTCTGTAATCCATTTATTTACCATATTATATTGTATTTGTTCTCCAAAGGGTGTCTTGACTTTGACTTGCCTCCTTTTTTCACTTAGATAGGAGTTTTCAATTAAATAGAGTTGTATTAACCTAATCCAAATCTACCTTATGCTGATACCATTGTGTTTTTCTGTTGTTCCAGCACCAGTATTGGTGGAGTGAGCATTGTCTAGGGACATTACACCTAACTTGATAATGATGGTTTTACTAAGCCCTTATCCTGGCCAGGCCTCTGGGCATTATACAGATAATTAAAATTTGATCATAAAAAATTTTAAACACAATGCACCTTAGCAATAAGATTTTTCTACCTTTAAACATGATTTTAAAACTCATTTTAAAAATACATTTCCTTGGCAGAATGAATTTGCTTTCATTTTTTCCCAAGGATTACAGAAAGTGCATAGCAAATTCAGCCTTCAGAATACCCAGGAGCTGAAGACTCAAGTAGGCTACAGCTGTCTTCACCCACAGTATTCTAAAAGAACTAATGAGATGAGAAGTCTGCAGCTGGTGGCAAGCACAATAAACCATGAGCCAAGGGCTTCTCTTCATCAGAGCCTCCCCTTTCCCCATGGGATCCCAAAGGAGACAGAATACTAACAAAGCCAGCAGGCTGTCTCATTCCACACTATTGCTCATTTGCAGCTATAATTGGTAGCTGAGGTTGCATTCTGTATGCTGAAACTGTCATACATGAAGGAATATATTTGTTCATTGTGATATGGATATAAGTCGGCCAGTTTTCAAATACAGAAAGACAAAACTAGATGTCCCACAATAAAATTGTAGTAAAGAAGATACTGTTCAAAAATTAAATGGTTGTTACAGAAATACAAACTGAGGTTGTTAAAACTACACCTGCTTCCTGCTTTTTAATATCTTGCTGTTTAATTCAACTGATTAAACATTTACGTATTCAAACTAACATACAAAAGCCCCAAAATTCCTTGGTTTTGACAAGATGCATTATTCTCATCTGTCAAGGGGAAGGTGCTATTGTTAATAATTGGATTTTGTTATATTTTCAGTATATCTGTAATGTTTGCTGCTTTGTATTCAAGAGAAAAAGGCAGAGGGAAGACTTAGCTTTGGCGATGTTATAGGCACACACTTGTGCCTTATAGGAAAATCTGCTTTGTGCCTCTGTGCCAGTGCTTCATGTTGTTTTGAAATGTGTTTTACTACCTGCTATCGCTGGGCACCCTTTTGCCCTCTCTTATATGGGGTTATTATGAACCCAGGCACAGGCCAAGCAGGCTGTGTTGAAGTCCTTGATGGTAGATGAGTCGCAGTATCTCCTTGCTGAATTTGTTTCCTCAGTTATAAAATGGGGCACATTGGATAGACTTCAGGGATCAGGTATCTGTAAATCTGTAATTCTATGAATTCAGTCTCAAGAATTATCTCAGTAACCACCTGGCACTAACAATGAAGGCTCAGAAATACATTTTTTAAAACAGTATATATATTTGTGAGGTCTGGGGTAGAAAAGTTCCATGTTCTTCAGCTGAACCATGTCAGATAGGTTATTGGGAGTCCCTGAAGTTTCATCCTGCTGTGAAGGTGAAGAGAATTGTCAGAAAAGTCTACCTCGTCCATCCACTCACATTTTCCCCTTCACCGCCGCCATAGCCATGCTTTGGCCCATCTCCTGGGCAGTTCGCTTAATTTGCCTGTACAAGAATGATTCATACTGCCCACAATTTGGACTAAGCCCACTTTTCATAAATTTGTTACTTCTTGGTTGATGAACAATCCTTATTCCCTCTGGCCTTACTGATACTTGTGCATACTGGTTTTCTGGCTTTTGTTCTTTCTCTTAGAAGTGAATTTAAAATCCACTGAAGTAGAATAGTTCTGCAGTCACTATTTCATCAGTTCTAAGATCCTCACCTTCCCCCCTTACATTTTAATATATTCAGAATCAAGATTTCTCTTCCAATTACAGCATGTTTTATTGACTGAGTGTTTTCCTTTTCAAGGATACATAAAATAACAGAGCCATCCTCTAATTGACTACCTCTTTGAGTAAAGAAAGTAGTATTTACTATTCTTCTCGTGCCTGTTTCCATATCATTTCAGACTTTGTAAAACAACAAGTTTTGTTAAAAAAAAAAAAAACAAACTTGATCATCATGCCCATGGCAAGGTCACACCCCACTTCGTTAACAAAAAGAAAACTGTTTCATTCAGATGGGATGGCTGTTAAACACTACATGGGCCTCCGGACACTGTATATAGATGATTAAAACGTAATCATATAATGTGCTTGTAAGAAGATTTTTATTTTAATACTCATTAAAAGATTACATTACTTTGACTGGTAGCAGTTGGTTTCAATTCCGACTGTGATTCTTTTTTCCCTTTTCTGTAGGCAGCTAACTCGTACTCCTGTGCTTTCAGCCACCTCTCCTCCTTTCTGTCAAGTAGACTAACTTTCTGGAGCCAGAGCCAGGGGCTTGTGCTGGTTTTCTTAACTCCTCAGACCTCCTTTGGACTACCTGTTAACTTACTGTGTGCTCCCTTCTACAAGGAAATAAAAGTTCTAGTTCAAGAAACAGACCTTGATTGAAGGAAATGGTAACAAAAGTGACTTTTGATATAATGTTAGACATTTCCAATTTTGGAGAAAAGTAAGCTTGACTCAGAGTTTTATTTAATTCCAAGCATCTGACCTAGAAGGAAATGTTCTATAGCTGTATGCCGTTAGTTATGTTAGTGTGGTAGCTTATTTCTCACAGGGAATCCAGGTCTTGAAACCACCAGTTGATTTTTCTCCATCAGCCGTGAAGTTGTTAATTCTTAGGGTGTAACGCTAAATTGGGTGTGACTTTAAATTGGGGTTCATGTTAGCTATCAGTAATTGAACTTGGTGCCACTGTGACCAGACACATGAAATAACTAGCTGTCGGATTCCCTACCATCGGCACACACCAGTTTGTTGTTCCTGGGTGGTGCGGACTGAACTAATACCTGTGGCCACACCACACTGCAGGGTTCTAAGCACTAAGGTTTATTGTGGCTGGCTCTGTTTGCTTCTGTAACTTAGCCCATTGTTGGGCTTTCTTAAAGCTTCTCAGGAGACAGCCTTTAGACTTTGAGTTCATGGTCCCATGTTTACCCAGTTACCTTTCTTTAAATTTGTTTTCTAACTGAACCTCAGTTTCCCTTCTGTATATTATTTAGTTAGGAATCATTAACATACATGATGTACTGAGTAACTGTTCAGTCTTGGTTGACTGCTTCTCAACCTACATTCTTTGATTTGTGGAACTTTGCATTGTATTTGAAGTATATTCAGTGCTTGCAATGCCCTTATCTCTACAACAATGTTTTTTCATATTTGACTTGTCTGGGCAGTTTTCCCAAAGTATGTGGTCCCTCCCTAAGTACTGTGAAGCACCTCTGGTATTTCTGGCTCAAAAATGAAGAGATTCTTCTCTTCGTAGTATTTTCAGCTGACCAGCAGACTTCTTTTTATCGTTACCATTGCAACGTATTTATTTGAATCTGGACACCAGCTCTTCAAAAGCAATGTCTTGTTTCTGTCTGTAGATTGTGTATATGTGTATGTGCTAATTAAAGGATTTTTATAAAGCAAATAGGATTTAAAAGATTTACTCATTTCATTCCTCCCGTTCTATAAGAAATAGGGTGTTAAGAGAAATAGAATTTACAAATGATAGAACCTTACATAAAACTTAAATTTTAGGGTCATTCTCCTAAAGTATAATATAACAAAGGTAGTTTCACTACAGATGCATCAATCTCTCCCTCACCTCCTTTGACAACGAGGTGCTGACATGAGTACACACTCTCTTCTGTGAGGAAGACACGTTTGGTATTACCCGTGGCGCTCTGAATAAGGGTTTGGAGAGGCTGGCCTACTAAATGGCACATATACCACAGGCCTGACCGTCTGCGCAGAGAGATGAGAGATGGGGCATGCCACAGGACCAGTAATTTTCATCTGTGTTTCCAGTTGCAGTCGTTGCTCTCTAGTAGGCGTTAGGGTCCTTTAGTCGTCTGTGGATATTATCAAATCTGCAATGGGTGTGTTTTGTTTCTAACATGATTGGAAGTGTATCAGAATGCTGAAATTGTTGAAACATGTTCTTAGAGGTAACTCTTTAGTAGTTAGCCAGGCATTGGTGGACTGCTAATTTTAAAGAGATTTGCATTATTTCTCATTAAGTAGTTGTTGTGCATGATGAAAGTTCAAAGCAAAGGGAACCAAACCAAAAATCTAAATATCATATAGAAGCATTTTCTTACTTTTCTGTAAAAGCCAGTAAGCTTAATTGGTTTCTGTCATGTGTTTTAGTAGCTGCTGTCATGTGTTTTAGTAGCTGCAGGGAGCCATTCTGGCAAGGTTAAAGAACTTTCTTTGGTTTTCTTCTCTGCCTCTGACTTTGTTTTGCTTTGCAGGACTACAAAGCTGATGAAGACCCCGCATTGTTCCAGTCAGTCAAGACCAAGAGAGGCCCTCTGGGACCCAACTGGAAGGTACTGGATGCTGACCTTTCTGACAGGCAGAGTCTTGGCAGCAGAACACTTGACAGGTCCTGAGTCTGGAAGAGCTGGTGACGTTTAAATGAAAAATAGAAATGGCTCGAAAGTAGTTTTATTTGCGATAAGGACTTAACAGTCAGTTGCACTTGGCTAGCAAGTCTGTGCTACATTAACAAACAGAACATAGCTAGACTGTCACTTTCAGCATAATGCTGTTCTGAAAACTCTTAAAAGAGACAACTGAGTTAGTCTTTGGAGATTGAAATATTCTCTTTTGAAACTTGAAGTAGTACAGCAATCCATGTTAAATGAAGGTTTAGAGTTTTAAATTTAGTCTTAGTAAAAACTAAGCAATTTTCACCCAAGCTCATGTTCCTAACCTTTTAGTAGTTATGTTTTGGGAATGTAGGACATTGGAGAACAATACGGATAGTAAATAGTTATTTTCTAGTAAAGAACACATCCTTGACTCATGGAAGTGAAAAAAGCAAAGTTCTTATAACTTAAATAGAGTATTATACATTCTCAAGAGATCACTGAACTGATTGACAAACTCTTAAAGAAGATACATAATACAACTAATTTGACAAAAGAAGAAGAGCTTAAGATCTTAAACATGCCCAGGGCAGATTTTCCGTCAGCAAGATTTTGCTAGATAACCCATCCATCTGTTTGTGCTGGAGCTAGTCATAGGTCATTGATGAAAGATGTCTAGGTGCTGGCTGTTGGGTACAGATAGAGGGCTACTGTTACAACTCCACCAGTAATCCATTGAGTGGTTCTGTGTGGGTGTCAAATTGTTGTGTGAACTATCTTACATGTCAGTTGACATGAAAAATGGGTCTGCTTGGTTCTGTAAGAGATGGTTTGTACTTAACCTTATTTGTGTATTTGTCTTCCAGTTAGAGTTCAGTTCAGTATTCTCAGTTTATAAATGACCATACTATAGACTTTTAATACCCAGAAAGTGATGTCACTTAAAAATTAAGGAACAGAGCCCTCCCTGGTGGCGCAGCGGGTTAAAGCACAGCACTGAGAAGCTTAAGCCACTTTCGCATGAGTTCGAGTCCCGCCTGCCATGGAGGAGATCCATGCGGCGTGGCAGACCTCTCCTGGCCCGCCCGCTGCTCCCCTCAGCAGTGTACTTCGTCGATCTGCCTATTCTGC